CACACAGACAGACAGAGTTCACGGGATAGACAGACGCACAGACAAACACACAGGGACAAGTCTGTAAGAACACGTACACTACACACACACAGAGGGGCGCCCCAGCTGCCCCACCTGCCCCCGGCGGCGTCTTGGAGGAGTAACGCCCGCCAACCTGCCGCCCAGAGTACGGCACCTGACTGCTCTGCAACAGCCCCATTCGCTCGCCGTACCCCAGACTCCAGCTCCATGCCCCCCCGGCAAATGTGATGACGTCGAAACCCGCAGCCGCGGTAGCGACCTCCCCTGCGGCAGCGGCGGCGTGGGAAGGAGATATGTATGGCGTATGTATGTATGTATGTATGTATGTATGTATGTATGTATGTATGTATGTATGTATGTATGTATGTATGTATGTATGTATATATATGTGTATGTATGTATGTACCCCTCCCCACCCTTAGTTACATTTGGGTTTTGCACATATATAGACACCCCCCCCTTCTCCCCTCCCGCCTCTTCCCCCCCTCGCACTGACCTTCTGGATCCAGGAGATCCACGGTGCACCGCTTCATGTCACGGAACCGGCCCTGCTGACGTGGATTCATCGTACCCGATACGTCACAAATCAGTACGGGCGCGGCGCCACGTAAGAAACCCACGGGACGCGGCTCGCACGGCGGCGCCCATTGCGGTACGTACTGCGGCGGTTCGACGTACACTGGGAGATCTAGGAAGGCGGGCGCCTCGAGCACGGGCAGCTCCTCCAGGGCCTCGTGGGGGAAATCCTCGGGAAGCGGCTCCGGGCCCTGCGTGTGTGTATGCGTGTGTGTATTAAGGCGGGACGGAAGGGTGGGGCGCGGGGGTGGGAGTATGGAGGGGAAAGTGAAGGAAAACTGAAAAGTGATTACAGCTGTGTGTGTCTGTGTGTCTCTCTGTCTATGTGTGTGTGTGTGTGTGTGTGTGTGTTTTATATAAAATATCGTGATCTTAAGGGGAAAAAGGCATATACATATACATGTGTATATACATACATACATATAAAGCGGGAGGGGTAGAAACGAAACAAGTGCGGCTCTCGGGCCCCCGGGGCCCCCGCTGGCAAAGTAGAAGCCAGATCAGGCTATCAAAAAGGTCATAGCCACAAAACCCCATTTCTTCTTCCTTCCCAATTTTACCACAATACGGAGCATAAGAATGATATATTCTACTCATAAAACCCAGAAGAACCAGGCGCCCTCCAAGGCGCTGACACCACTCCATCCCCATCCCCAATTTCTCGTCTACCCGGGTTCGTACACTCATTCATTCATATACAGTTCCCTTTCCTTATCCCTTTTTGGTGTCCTTCTCACTTGATCAATATCTTTCTTCAAGCAAAACAAAAAATATTCTAAAACCCAAAACCCAATTATCCCACCAATTATCTATCCCCCACGCACCGGCTCCGGCCTTGTCGGCATCATGATCGGCGGCAACTCCGCAAACGGCGCCGTAAAGTTTACCCACATGCGGGGCGTTCCAGAAGCTTCCGAAGCCACGGAACGAACCTCCTCCCAAGCCTGGTCCTCCGGAGACTTTACAACTACCGGCGGCGGAATGCGTGGGCTAGGAGCAGCGGCGGCGGCAGCGCCGCTGTTCCGTCGAGCCGACGGAATCCGCAGCGGCGGCGGCGGCGGCGCCGCCGCCGCCGCGTCACCGTCGCGGGGACCGGCTGACAGCGGCCTAGCGGCGGCACCGTCGTACGTCAGCTTCCGCCCCGACGCCGCCGACGATACCCGGGGACGCGGCGTCGTCGGCCCGGTGGCGGCGGCGGCGGCGGCCACGTTCGCCGCCTCGAATGGGCTGGCCACCGCCGATGTTCGATGCGAGCGCGCGGCGGAAACAGGGCGGGAGGTGGCGCGGGAGAGGGCGGCGGGGGAGGAGGGTACGGAAGCGTACGGCGGGTCCGGCTCGGGGCCGCCCATCCAAGCCAGTTCCAATTTCGGGATGGGTTCCAGATCGAGACCTACGAGCAAGGAGATGTTGTACGGAAGGGGTTGTACGGAAATCCTCTTTCATCTTTTTAGGTAATCCTCTTTCACCTTTTTCGAAAGGCGAAAAGGTGAAAGAGGATTACCTAAGGATACAACAGAATATGGTGGAGGCGGTGGTGCGTTTCGCCAAGCTGAGAATGAACTCACGGAAAGATCTCTAAGCTGAGCTGAGTTGATACGGCGATGACGGGAGGCCGTGCTGGCTGCTTGGAACACGCCCCACGTGGCTTTTCGAACCTTCCTGGACGCTCCAGCGCACCTTCGTGACAAATCAGAGTGTATGTATGTATGTATGTATGTATGTATGTATGTATGTATGTATGTATGTATGTATGTATGTATGTATGTATGTATGTATGTATGTATGTATGTATGTATGTATGTATGTATATGTATGTATGTATGTGTGTGTATGTATGTGTGTGTATGTATGTATGTATGTATGTATGTATGTATGTATGTGTGTGTATGTATGTGTGTGTATGTGTTCACTTCCTAACCGCCGTGTTTTCGCTGTTGCCACTCCCACTCGCCCCCTGGTGTCTCCCCGTACACATACACACATACACATGCACAACCGCGTTGAGCCAAATCCAGATCTGGACACAGACACATACCGTACAATACTCGTATGACGTACATACACATAGGCATACGTACTCATACATACATACGAACAAACACACACACACGCCGTACCTTTCAGCAGGTCTGCGTCCAGGGGCTCTAGCATGGGCACCATCGGTAGGTTGTTGGGCGGGTGTACGAACCGTGACGTGTCCATAACCCGTTGAGCAGCGGCCTCAGCCAAAAAGGCGTCACGACTAGGCGGGTCCAGCTGCGGGAGACATGTGTGCGCGTATGTATGTAAATGTGTAAGTATATATGTCAGTCATATGTATGTATGGTTAATGAAACGGCCTCATTCAGGAAAGTATTGCTATGGCAAGACTCCTATATTCTTCCTTCTTTTAATTTATCGTTTAGAACTCACTGAGTTCAACTCAGTCTCGGGATGCAAGAGTTGGAGAAAAGAAGTATACCGAAAAAACTGCTATTACTTCTGGTGATATGCTTAATGATAGAGTACTGCCATGGTATGAAAAGGAGGGGATTCCGGTACTTCGTATTCTCACTGATAGAGGTAGCGATTATAAGGGAAAGAACGAGCATGCCCAAGTTTACCGAAACAATAGCAGAGATCGCTGACCTTCTTTGTGTGTTGGTGTATGTGCGTATGTATGTGTGCACTCTACCCTTCCATCACCTCCTCTCCCTCTCCCTTCGCCCGGGGTATCCGTCTATATCTCTGGTACCTGCTTCAATCTTCAGTGGTTCGTCTTACCCTCCCCCTCTACCCCCCCAAACCCCTCCCCTCCGGCCAACCCCCACAACGCACTTGAAAAGGCCGTAGCCCTGTCCAATCGTGTCCGTGTTTCGCCTGGCCGTACGATGGGGGCGGCGGTGCGTCCGGCATTACGGGGGGTGGCGGGTCCACGTACTCGGGCTCCACCAGGGGCTCCACCTGCAGGAACTCCGGAGGGATGAAGATGGGCAAGGGCTCCTCCTGCGGGGGGGAGGGAGGGGACGGGGGGGAAAGGGGAAAGGAAGGAAGACGCGTCAATAAACACACACACACACACACGAACCCCAACAACGACTACAGGAATGTGAATGGTAAAGATAAAGAAGGGAGAAGGCGGATCGGACTTAGGCGGGTCTAGGTTTCAGGAACAAACCTAGTAACGCGCGGAGGGTTATACGAAACAAATGTGAGAAGATTAGGAAGGGGGAAAGAGGGGGGCTTGATGGGAGGAGGGAAAGCGCGGGTTTTAAGAGGGGCGCCCTGGGGATTTCCGTACGGTACGGACAGCACGTGAAAAAAACACATCATACACCCATACACACACACACACGTTACCTTCGGCACGGGCGGCACGGGCGGCACCGGCAGGTACTCCGGCTCCACAAACGGCGGCTCGGGCTCCAAGATGGGCGCGCGGAAGGGCGGCAGCTTCAGTGGCGGCAGGGAGGGCGCGGCGGGGATGAGATGTAGGTTGGGTTTGAAATCCTCCCATGAGGGCAGCTCCGGCGGCGGCGGCAGCTCCAGGGGGGGCTCCTCCAGCAGCGCGGGCGCCTTGGAGAGCTTCCGGAGCATCTCCGCGAGCTCGTCACAGTCGCCCATCAACTCCCAGTAGCTGCCTTCGTACACGCCATGAGCCTGTTTTGGATTTTTTTATTAACGATGAGCTTTTAGGAAAAGCCAGATTTTTTGATGTTTCAAATTTCAAGTAGAATTTTCCGAATAAGATTTCCTACAAATATGGAGGTGGAGATAGAAAAGGAAAAAATATGAATGATTGGGTTTTAGTTTCGATAACAATGGCGGCGGTTTTCATTTGACGAGAGGCAGGAAGAGCCGCCGCAGAGACCCGACCCGACCTGTCTGTCCCTCTGTCCCTCTGTCTGTCCCTCAGTCAGTCAGTCAGTCAGTCAGTCAGTCAGTCAGTCGTATGGCGCTCACCCTTCTTCCTCCCTTGTGCCAGCCCTCAAAGAACTCCCCTGGAGTCACATTAGCCTCCACATCCCGACCCACGCCGGGAACAAAACCCTGTACGGCAGGAGGAAAGGGAGGGGGAGAGGGGTTGGGTGTTGACGACCCTCATAGGATGCAAGGGAAGCCAAATCAGTCAATACGATGCCTAGACGGTCCAAACAAGGGGGGAGAGGAAAAGCATGGTGCTGGCGATAATGGCGACGATGATGCAAAATGACGAAAAGAATTACCCAACTGCCGACGGCACGAAGGCTACCTCATAGGCAAGGTAGGTTGGCCCCAACCCCAACCCCAACCCCTACCTCCACCCCACCCCACCCAACTCCCAGTCCCCCGACCCAAACAGCCTATCCTTGCCATCAGCTTTCACTCGTCCGTGGTTCGCCTCCCTCGTTCCCCAAACCCAAACCCTGTGGACACGTCGGCAGTTATTATTGCTCGGTTGCCCTTGCATCGTAGGGTTTACCCCCAAAAACCCCCTCATCCTCCTAACCTCCCCTCCCAATCCCGACCCAGTTCCACAATCCCTCCAATCTTGCCCACCCCACCCCACCCCACCCCAGCCCAGCCCACCTTGGTGTGTTCCCACACGATGTTGGGCTCCAGTATCATCATGAGCTGCGGCACCCCCATATTCACATCCGGACGAATGAGCGACTTCCACCTCCGAGTGCGAGTGCGGGGCTGATCACCGGGTCGGGCGCTGGGGATGGTGGCGCGACTGACACGCTCACGTTGAGGAGCCTGGGCGGGAGAACATGACGCGCGCGCACAGAGGGGTGTGTATGTGTGTGTGTGTGTATGGTGATTGGTTAGTTCGTTGGGTTCAACACCAATGCATTCCATTCCCCGGGCGAGCGGGCGTGTGCGCGTGTCAATACGTCCTAGGTCGGGACCCGAAAGGCCCGGTGGGGGGAAAGACGAACCACGAACGAGTGAAGCTGCTGCCAGGGCAAGAGCTAGGGGGGAGGGTAAAACACCACCGGCCCGGAGGAGCAGGAGGCGGTGGAGCAGGAGGAGGCGGGCGCGGGGTCGCCACTCTTTCAAGTCCACCAGTCCCAACCGCCGCAGTTGGAAACCCGTGGATTGGAACGTAAGAGAAGCTCCGAAACCCGGATGCTCCGAAACCCAGACATACATTCACACACGGTGTGAATGACAGGGGGCGCAGCAAATAAGATGGAGGGGTCAGGGCAGTGGTGAGGTTTGGGATGGGACGAACGTCTATAGGCTACGTACGACAAGCCTCACGGCTAGGTCACGTACAACAGCTTGTACGGTCAAGACACGTAGGAGATCAGGTAGAGGGCCGGGTAACAAGCGAGTATAAGCAAGGGGTATTAAAGTTCTAAAGAGGTGAGAGACACGAGCCCAGGCCCCAAACCGAATGCGTAGGCGGTGGCAGCTCAGGAAGGCAGCGAGAACCGAAACCCAAATGACTAAAGGATTTGAGAGTTGCTGAGGATGGCGCGGCGGCTTAAAGATGACTGGGAAGGTGCGGGGGTGAAGCCTGAGGCGAGGGGACGTAGAGGAAGGCGGGGAATGTGGCCTCCGGGGATTGCAGCCTGGGCGAGTAGTGTGGCAGATGGAATCATGAAGGAATTAAGAATCCATGTATGTCCCCATAATTAGGTGGCAACGTGCATTAATCTGTCGGGTTGCGATTTGCGGGGCATGCCCAGATAATCCCTGACTCAAGAGCTACACAGGGACTTGCCAAAGCATAGCCAAATGATACTGTGGGGATGCCGCTATGAAACATACATATTCAATAGCTTTCGAGCCCCTGCTCGCCCGCCTATCGCATACCTGGTGAGGCGCAGGGTTATTGAGCCGCGTCCTGGCTTTATCCTGGAGCGTTTGCTGTATCTGCTCCTGGCCATAGCTCTTGCCCTTTTCAAGCGTCATTCCTCCTCAGCCGTTCAGCACGCCGCGGCAGGCCTTCCGACTGGTGTCGCGCCTCTAACGCTTTACAAAGCGTCTACTCCTTGAACGTGATTAAGAGAATCAACAAATTGTGCCTGCAGCGCTTGCGGCAAAGCAAACGCGTTTCTTCGTCGTCCACCATGACTGTAACTCTAACACCTGATATATCGGCATTCCATATAAACACGTAAACAACTCCTTACTTCATCGCATCCACCCATCTCAGGTGTATTCATATAATGCCGTACTCGAAGTCTTCCGGTTTTCATGGATAACCTTTGGGGCTATTCAACGTATACCAGCAGATCACCTAGGACTACGTTCATCAATCTTGCTCAAGTTATATAAAGAGTTTTTGCATAGATTTGGGGCCAGGCTGCTTCATGGGTCAACCGTGCACTTCGCGCGAGAAGCTATTGTTGCTAGGGTACAGTAGATTTGCTAACTCGGTGATGATCGATATCTGACCATCATAGCAGGACGCTGCATTTCTTTCTAGAGAAAAGCTTCAAGGGACCTTGCAGCACATTAGTGGTAACACCAGCTCCAGCATCTGGAGTATGTTGGGCTCCATTTTAATTCCATGTTAGCGGCATCCAGTTTCCTCGACGCACGCTGGCCTTTTGAAGTGCTAAAGTCTTGTTAACTTGTATGGGTTATTGTACTAAACCGGGCTGAACTTTCATAATAGGGATCACTGCGCGACAGGTACATGGCGGAAAGTTGAGGGTTACGACGATGATTCGTGGACGAGTCCGCTATTGGTTCCGGTGTACGCCACCCATGCGCCACCAACCATCCAATCCAATAGCGCGACCCTTGCATATTAACACCTGCCGCAACGACGTGCCGCCTGCACCGTCCCTTCTGCTCCACCGCTATTGCTCCTTGGTTATCCGCAAACCCCAGATACCACCCCACTCTTTTACAGCACCACCAAAGGGGGGTTATAACATTCCTTGTCATCATATCCCGACCGGGGCTAGTTACTCGCCTCGGAGGCTACGCCAGCTGGGAGTGCACGAGAGCATGGGCTGGGGTGACAAGCCCGGTGGCTGGAAGGGGTTTGAGTGGTCTGGATGCTCCGGTGGTGCCATGCCAACGATCTTCTTCAGGGTCTTTTAGACTTGCGCTCCGGAGCTCAAGTTATAAGGCCAACAGCCACGGGTGGATGACTACTTGGCGATGGAAGAATCAGCGCCAACACCCGAGTCTCCTGTTGGAGTGATGCCTATCAAGCAAGCCAACTGGAGTTCCAGTCCCCTGTTCGTGGTGACACAGATTGGCCCATTCGTATGCTATCACTGTTATTCATCGCTTGTTCAGTACGGGTGAAGCTGAGTGACCCCGCTGGGTGGAAGCAACATTATGTCAATCGGTCGGTGGGTGTGTTGTAGCTGTGTACCGTGCAGCATGCGCTTAAACAGACACAACCAGCCACGCCGATAATGCTGTCAAAAGGTGCCTGGAGCATTGGCCTCCGACAGAAGCGAGAGCTATAGAGGTGCTAGTCCTTGTTTGGTAAGGGGCTTCCACTGAACAGCTGAAATCAGCGACGCGCTCCTATGGGGATCGAACCCACATCAGTCCCCAAGGGCCGGATCAAAAGGGGAATTCACCGCCGTATCCTTGCCCACACGTCATCCACTGCCACCAGTTCCGTAGTGGATCCACTTCCGCTGCATCCGCACCCGTTCTGGGGGCCGCATCCGCCTTTGGCAACACCGCCAAGGCCCGACCTACACATATTTGAACGACAGTTTCCATATACACGTATCGAGTCACATGCAGTAGTCTCCCCCAGGCAGGCGACTCTGATGAACTATCCGCCGGCTTCTCCTGTGGGGGAGGCACCTCGCCCGGCCGTTTCGGGGCAAGGGCAATCATGAGAAGTAATAAGGGGATTGATTCGTAAAGAATGTACGAACAGAGCAAGGGGTTAGTTATTGTTTATCTCTATCTCTACCCGGCCGCTACCCAAACGCTCAAGCACCAACCTATTTTTGGAGTCTTAAGCACGCCCAGGTCCAATGCACGCGCCTCGCACGTCCTGAGGTACATGGGTCTCATCCACTGCCAAGGCCGAAGAAAGGAGCGTGCTTGCAACACAACGGGACAAAGGATATGTGTAAGCATATGGCAAGTCGGTGTAAGGTACGTGCGACCACTCACCTGAAGCCGTCGGTGTTCCTGCGCACACAAAAAAACTGCACAACAGGTTACTGTTAATAAAACTGCCTGGTGAGTGTGCCGCGACATAACTGCGTACAGAAATAGGAGCCGTACAGAACATCGCGAGCGCAACGGCACAAATAACTAGATTGACGTAGATCGCATTGGAGTCCAGCAGCTCCTACTCACTGATATTAGATCCTTGTGCGGGGTTGATGCAGTCGTCTCCGGCCAGGCCACCCGCAGCCATAAGCCTCAAGGGAGACAGTCCAAGATATGCACAAGCAAAGGGGAACGGCAGGCAGAGCGGGAGAGAGTGCTCAGCAAGTAGGATTAAGTTGGACAGCGGTTCATGCTGCGGATGGATGACCATGCCGGGTGCTGTCGACATCTGGCTGTATGAAAATGACACGTTCACCAGTACTGGTGTTGCAAACAGAACTATAAGAGCAACCCTTTTTCCTACCTCTCCCCCGCACACTTACAACAGACTTTGTGTGATTTTGGAGTTCAGGACCGATTAATGAGTGGTTGGAAGCATACGCGTTTAGATGCCCAGCCTGACGTGTATCCGTCAGACAGCAAGCAACCAGGAATCCACATGGCGAAGTTTAAGCATTGGATGGGGCTGGCGGCCGAGCAAGCGGGCAGGAAGGAGGTGCTCCCGCACATCACAATGTTTATCCCACGTTCGGCGAATCGCAAGCTTATGCAGTTTAGGCTTTGCTGTTGGGCACTGGCGGCTAACAGAGCGCGTAAGGGACGGCGTTATATACCTAGGGAGGAGCGAGTATGCCCTTGCTGCGGCACTGATAGCCACATCGAGGATGAGAAACACATTTTGCTGGACTGTCCGGTTTACGACGAAATCAGATCTGATATGGGCTTTCCACGCTTCGAACATATGAAGGACGCTATGAAGTGGGAACCTGAACGCCTGGCAAGGATGCTGGAACGTATATGGTCTCACCGCAACTCTATCGTTCCCTTTGGTCGTTAGTATCCTTCATCACTTGTCTCGTTGGAAGTGCGAGGTAGGATGGTGCTTATAGGCGTTTTGGCAGCCCTTGAGCCCTCGGCTCGTACTAAGGTGGTTTGCAGGTACGGGGAACACACCCACGACCATGTAACAACAACAACAACAACAACAACAACAACAACAACAACAACAACAACAACAGTTCGGTTCGCAGTCTTCTGCGCCGCTGTGTTGCCTAGCCAGGGGCTGGGAGAGTGTCCCGGTTGGCGTGAGTGAGGGAATGAGGCGCGCGCGGAGGAACAGACGGACATAGAGCCGCGCGCCCATCCCTGCGCTGTGTTTCGGCCCGGTCAGGGCCCCCGGTGCTCGTCCTTTATCGGGCGAGCCGCCCACAGTGTAACACCCCATCAACAACAACAACAACAACAACAACAACAACAACAACAACAGACTTTGTGACAGGTTCCTCGCATGCAAAAACACACGCATTCATGTTTGGCTGGCGGCCGTTAGCGCATCTTTGCTGCGAATTTCGGCTGATTATCTTTCCTTGGGTGTTTTGCTGAGCTGAGCTGAGCTGTGACTGCTGCTGCTGTTGTTGCTAACGCCGGTAGCCAAACATGAATGCATAGTCGTTGCAGTTACTCTGAACCATGTCACAAAAAACTCTACAGACAGGACACACCAGTATTCGATGCACGACACAGTACGGCACAGCACATGGTACAGCACGATGTAGTCAAGACATCCCTGTAAATTGGTGCAAAACCGGCGATCGCCGATTACCTTGGTTGGATTCTGATGCAGCCACTAGCTTCTTGTATAACATATGTAATGTAATGTAATGTTACAGAGTGGGAGGCTTCTGGGCCGCTTTATCACATTGTCAGTTCTACGATTTACCACCTTATAGCACCACTATACTTCGCCATACGAACTGTAAGTCCAAGGCGGCGGATCCAGCCTTCTAGGACCCCTCCTCATCCATTCACCCGAACAACCGAAGAGACGGAGGGTTCGGACTGGATGGTGGTCAGTGACGAGATTGAAAGGAATGGAACTCTGTAAATAGCATCGCCATTCTCTCAAGGCGTTGATTACCCCAAGTAGCTCCTGTTCACCCGTACTGTAGTTCCGTTCAGCAGGGGAAAATTTCTTACTGGTAAAGGCGACCGGTCGGTCATTTTGCAGGAGTACTGCGCCAGTTCCGTTCAGCGAAGCATCTGAGATCACTTCGAAAGGCTTTGTAAAATCCGGGTAATTCAACAAAACGTCGTTCGATAGTCGAGCTTTGAGTGTTTCAAAGGCTCGTATGGCTTGTTCAGGCCATTCATCTGGTAATCTTTTCGCACTGAAGAGATCGGTCAGGGGTGCAGCAAGGGAGCTAAAACCTGCGATGAATCGCCGGAAATAGTTCGCAAGGCCAATAAAAGATCGAAGTTCAGAGATGTCCTTTGGCAATGGCTAATTTCGAATAATCTCAACCTTCTTGGGATCCATACGGATACCATCTGCGTTCACGACATGTCCAAGATATTGGACTTCGGTCTTCCAAAAATCGCACTTGGAAAGCTTGACATGTAACTGATTTTCCTCGAGGACCTTTAACACCACCCTTAAATGGCGTGCGTGTTCTTCGGGGGTCTTGGAGAATATCAGAATGTCATCCAAGTAGACCGTAACAAATCGGTTCAAGTACGGTGCAAAGATGCGATTCATCAAATGCTGGAAGGTTGCGGGGGCGTTCGATAGGCCAAAAGGCAATGCAAGCCACTCGAAGTGTCCGAGATGGGTTGTGAAAGCCGTCTTAGGAACATCTTCGGGAGTAATCCGCAACTGGTGGTAGCCAGAAGCTAAATAAAGGGCCGTGAAAATCGATGCACCAGCTAGACGATCGAGTGTATCATCAATCCGGGGCAACAGGTATCGATTCTTGATAGTAATCTTGTTCAAAGCCCGGTAAAATACACATGCGTAACTCTCCGAAAGGCGAAGTTGAAGGGCGAATAAATCCTTTCGCAAGCAAATCTTTGACTTGCTTTTCTACTTCCTCTCGTCCTAACGGCGAAAGTCGCCACTGGGGTCGGAAAGCCGGTTGCGCATTCGGTTCCAACGGGATAGTGTGGTTAACACCTCTATCCGGTGGTAATTCTGTGATCGGTGCGAAAACTTTCGGAAATTCGTTGATAATCTCCACAAGGGATTCATTCTCAGCAATGTGTGGTGGCAGATCCACAGCATTAAGCGTTGGTGTGTCAGAGAGCAGGGATGCGGTTTGCTTCACGACAACAAGCAACGATCGACAGCCAGCTTCGTTCAAATCTCCAAAAACTCTTTTCAGCGAGATGATCTTAATTGTCTCAGGTCTTTTCTCGAGAAGTGTGACTGATGATACTGACTGATGATACATCGAAGACCTCTCCGATCTAACTAACCGATCCGAAGCATTCTCCGATCTAACTAACCGAGAGTCCCATGGGTCATCTCAATCTCAAGGAACCTTCCGTGGGTCTTAATTCTGCACGGTTTCTTCTCAGAAAATTCTGACCCAAAACAACATCAGCGGACGTGGTTAACGTCGGCAGTATGAGAAAACGGACTTCAGCTCGAAATCTTCCGATGTGAAGGCGAGTTTTACATTCACCAACGATGGACACGTACGATGCATCAGCAAGTCGTACCAGCGCGCATGGTGAAGGTTCTAAGGCTAATCCAAGACGGTCTGCCACAGCCTTAGCGATGAAACAATGCGTTGCGCCTGTATGGGGGAGTATGCGTACTGAAGTCTCACTGAGTTTTCCTGAGAACAGGTCTAAATACACATCTTTATTCGTCAAGCAGCAACTTGGATTCAATCGCTGTTCTGAAGAAGGGGAATCATACCATAGTTGCAAAGGTTCTGTCAGTGGAGAAGGTTCTGGACATCCTGGGTAGGAAGCGGCGTACAGTCGAGTGCCTTTCGGAAAAGTTGATCCAGACTTTTCCGAAAGGCACTCGACTGTACATCTGGATCAACGTCATGCCTTCTAGGAAAGTGTGAAACTTCCCTGGCGTCTCAGGCACTAAAGCACAAGCTGCCATACTAGGATCATGTTCTTTGCAATGTCGATAGTGTCTCAGATAAGTGTAAAGCTTTCTAACTGGCGGATTAAGCCATAAGGTGTGGCCGGAGCAATCAAGCGACAGAAATTGACACGATTCTGATCCAAAAGATTTACATACGGCATCGCTGCCGTCACTTGCACAAGCGTCAAATGTAATCAACCAAACATAATCGACCACCTGATGGCTGCCGAGGTGTCTGTTCGATTAGGGTGGGAACCCTGAAAGAGTGTCAATCCTTAATTAGGAAACACTTATTAATCTCAAGGTTTTCATAGACTGTTCATAGATCAGTCTTAATCAAACCATGCCCTCATCACAACATGCGGCCCCTCTCATCTCAGACTCCACATTCGATGACAAAACTGAAATTGTTGTTGCCCTGCATGGCCTGCCAGACACCCCTGCCTCAACAACCACCCTTGCCTCAACAATTACAAACGTGCAAACTAGGTTTGTACACAATCTAAACCCTCTCAGGTGGAACAAGTGTGTTGCAGCTGCGGCTGTTTTTTTATAGGGCTAAAAACAAGTGCTTCTTAAGAATATAGTTCAAGTACTGTGTCATGCTGCCTTGCAGCATCAGACCCCTGTACACTGAAGCACCCTGTCCCTTCAGATGTCAGGCCATGCCTAATCTACCTAGACATCCATAAGTACTCAAGCTGATGACTTCTGAGTGCATTGCAGTCCAGGTACGTTGTGTTGTATGATGTGTACTCATGCAAGCTTGTGAGTGCATAGTGCATAGGAGTTCAGGCTAGTTGTATTGTCCTCATTCCATGTGTACTAATGCAAACTGCACCCCCATCAGTTTCACCACCAGATCAGTTTCAACAGCCCAAACCCTACTGGACGGCCAGCATCACCAACCACTTGACGGCCGGCACCATGAACCGCTTGATGGCCAGCATCAGAAACAGGACAGCCGAGAGGCCAAACAAGAGCACCGCATTTCCACGCGGGCTCTCCCACAGCAGCTGCACCAGGCCCAGCCCTGAAGTTCCAAATGGCCCTGCCAGCACATCCAGCCAGTCTGCACAGCAGGAGTGCTCACTCTTGCTTAGTGTGTACCCTCGAGCTCGTCCTCATCAAAAAGGCATACAAGGCCCCCAGAGCCTCCACAAGGATGTCTGCAGGGAGTGGAGGCAGGTGCAGATTGGAAGAAAACCCTTCAGGCATACACTCTCCCAGCCCCAGCCCCAGCCTCAGCCCTAGCCTAGGTCCGCAGCGCATCTGCAAAGCACTTACCTCGCGGAAGTTGCTTTTGCACCTCCTCGTGGACGATCTTTTGCAGCTCCTCGCGGACGCTCTTCTCGACGTCCGCCTTGATCTTGAGGCGCAGCTCCTCGATTAGCTCCTGCGGGATATCGCTCATCTGGAGCTTCGGCGGTGTGGACATTTTGAGAATCTTAAGCAGTCTGGGTGTAGATATGGCCTTGCCTTTTGGAAATTGCGCTGTATGTATGGCTGCTCAAAGTTTGGAAGAATTCTACGTAAAGGAGAATTGGCCGCAGCTTAGGAGAAATGGCAGCAGATGATGGTACGGCCATGGCATTCTTCCACCTTCCCCAGCTCATCAAGCTTTTCTAAACGATATTTCCTCGACCTAAAGCCAGCCTCAGCTCATAGAGCTCCAAGCTCTTGCCGCAGCAACCTTGTTGACTGAGCCCCTGTCGCGCTCTAGGGCACATTCTGCTTACGAAGATTAGTGTAACCTTAAAGGTACTTCAAATTTACAATTCATTGCGGCACAACTTCCTTTTCTCGGTGGCCAGCTCGCCGCGCCGATACCTCGCTACGGCCGCGAGACAAGATACAATCATACAATTGCAATTTTTCAAGCCTCTGCGGCATAACGGAGTCGGGCTTCCTTGGCAACCTGGCTGCGAGCAGTGCCACGGGCGGTGATGCGCGGGGGGGTCACGGCTTCCATGGAGCTGGACAGGCAGCCCATTCGGCAAGAAAGTCGTTTGCGGCGAGGCCTGCATACACTTGTAGCGTATGCTGTCGCTAAGGACGTAATACCTGCCCTTGGTGTAGCGGGGAAAGTCGTAGCGTGGCATGTGTGCTTCCTAGCCCTGAGCACAGAAAATACGTAGCCTTAGCCCCCGCCGCCCGCGCCCATGAGCGTGCTGCCCGCCCCCTGCATGCGCGCGCCAATAGCACTGGCCTTCCCTAGCATGGCCTCGGCCTTTGGTGCAGCGCCAGACACCCAGTTGGCTGCCTTGCTCACACCCTTGGCCAACAGGGCGATTTAAGGCTGCCCTGCGGATAGGGTGATGCCGCTCACTGCGTTTGCGACAGGCCGCGCAAACTGCGCAACCTTGCGCACCACGGGTGCTGAGAACTCAGCCACTTTGCGAATGGCTCCACCAACACCGCCAAGTGTGCGGCCTGCAAATGAGCATGCCTTGCCAAGCAGTGCACCGAGTCCCATGGTGTGTTTTGTCTAGGTGTGAGATATTTTGGGGTCGCTGAGCACCATCAGCCTGATGTCGTCTCGTATGCGTGCTACACTGCCACTCAGGGTGTCAAGTGCATCGTCTCCCTCTGTGTAAATGACTCACAGCGTCATGCACCAATCGTACTGCGGCTCCAGGGCGCGGCCTGTGTCGTCAGTCACCCAGAAGTGTATCTCATCCAGGTGCTGTGCACTGAGGGCGTATGTATACATGTCGGATTCGTTGGCGGCAAAGGTGATGTTGTCGAGTGGGGCGGTGTCAATGGGTATGGACACAAGCACATTGCTCTCCACAAAGCCCGAGGTCGCCAGGTTGTCCACCACTGCGCCCCATTCCTTAGGGAGGGAGGCGTGCACACACAACGTGTTTTCTCGGTTCAGCTTGACAGGGTGCTGGCTTACGAGTGGGTTGGTGCTGGTACCAGTGGGCTGCGAGCCACGCTGGAAGCCCAGTAGCCCATATGCGTAGCCAGGGAAGCTGAAGCGGTAGGTCTTGCCCTTAGCAGGCGGCTGGAAGCGAAATTTGTTGGTGAGGCGCAGATAGGTCACCCCCCAGCCGGGTAGCAGTGCCGCCAGGGTGGTGTGCAGGCTGTTCACATCGTAGTACCCTTCGGGCAGGGTCAGGTTGGCAGTGGAGGAGCCGTCAAAGACCGCAAAGGCGCTGTTTGCAGCAGTGACCGAGTACCAGCTACGGTTGACCACCGCAGACACAACTGACACCTTGATGCGGCCACGGGTGCGGTCCAGCTTGATTGCCACGTGGGGGAGCGTCACCCAAAAATCACCTGGCGTGCCGCTGCGCCGGTTGGCAGAGCTGATGTGAATGAGCTGCATGCACTGCATGGTTGCATGCTACTGCCTTGGCAGGTCATTTTTCGTCACCGGACGGCACGGGGTATGCAATGAGGGTCATCATCCAGATGGGGGTGATGCCGGCGCCAAACACATCTGGGGGAATCAGGTTGCCATCAATGCCCACAAGCCGAAAGTTGTGCAGGCTGCAGCCTGCCGGACCCCACCATGGGCATGAGCTGGTAGCCTGCACTCTTGGTTAGTGTCGAGTAGGAGTTGCCCTGGGTAAGGGTGTTGCTCTTGATGAAGTAAATGGAGTTTGCGGGCACTGTATTGACACTCACGATGAAGGACTCGATGGCTATCTGCCACTCAGAGGTGTCTACCGCAAGCCACTCTGGCAGGTCAAGAAAGTGCATGCCATCCCGCCAGTCCCCCTGCACCACGTTGGCCGAGCTGAGCTGAATGCGGAAGAAGCGCATGGTTGGATTTGCTATGTGGCAAGGTTTTTCTCAGGCGTCTGCTAGCTTGACCATTGGCGCCTCGGGCAGCTGGTCTGGGTCAAGCACACGCACTGCATCGTCGACAGTAGTGCTTGTGGGCACTGCGTGCAGCGGTGCCTTCCCTCCTGCAGCGTGCTCCTCCTTCTTGGCCTGCCGCACCAGCTCCTTGATCCACTTGGGGTCGGTGCTACGGTATGTTGCGATTGCAATGTCAATAAGGTAGTCGGGCAGTTGGGGGTGCTCGCTTTTGATAGCAGCGTGCCACACCTTGTACTCCTCTGACCGCTTGAAGTCCAGGGTAAGCCCGGGCTGTGCCATGGCTGCTGTTGTCCTGACTCTAGGGCTAGAAAATGCGCGAGACCCTACTCAACATGCAGTATGGTGTCAAAGCAGTGGGTTGCAGAGATGGGGGATTGGGGGCAGGTACTGGTCAGGCGGGATGGGGAATAGGGTTGACGATGTCAGGATGGGATGTGGGGCCCAAGGCGAGGATTAGGGATTAGGCGTGCTACACTACTTTTGGGATGGGGATTGCTGTCGGGGGTGAGGATGGGGATGGGATCCCTGTCTGAGGGATGGGGATTGCAACCTTGACCAAGGAGGGGATTGGGAGCCCTGGCCAGGGATGGGGATGGGACCCTGGTCGACAGGACGGGGATTGCAGGCTTTCGCAAGTTTAGGATGAGCTCGCTGCCATAGGATTGGGAACACAGTTGGAGGATTAGGATTGGGTGTTCTGCTGTAAAATGAGGCTGCAGGTGCAGAATTGGGAATACTGACAGGACTGCAAAGCAGGCCAAGGATGGATGGTTTAGTTGTCCATAGTTGCTTACATGGTAACTCAAGGAAGTCCTCCTGTAACACAGCAAAGGCGTAACCCGGGATACTCAGATTGGCATTTGCGTCGTTACACCTGCTTGCAAGACGCGTCCCATAGCAAACCAAACTCAAACACAAGGAAGTTCTGCTTGCAAGTCGCGTCCCATAGCAAACCAAACTCAAACACAAGGAAGTTCTGCTTGCAAGTCGCGTCCCATAGCAAACAAAACTCAAACACAAGGAAGTTCTGCTTGCAAGTCGCGTCCCATAGCAGACCAAACTCAAACACAAGGAAGTTCTGCTTGCAAGTCGCGTCCCATAGCAGACCAAACTTGTCCGGCCCATGCACATCCACATCCAGGGCACCATCGGGTGCCATTCTGGAAGAGATGCGCTTAACATGGTGGGCATCTTCCAAGACGAAGCTTGGGACTCTTTGACTAAGACCCGAACTCTTTGACTAAGACCCAATCGAATGTACACACTAAGAAAGTACAGACGCACATACGGACTCAAACGTACAATGCCTCATATTCTTACGCGACGCACTCAACCACGCACACACATACAACACACACACACACACACATACACACACACACACACACACACACGCACACTACCCACCCACCCATCCCACCTACCCTTCCCACCTGCCGTTGTGCCGCCCCCCATGCCCGCCTATGACCCCGTGTGTCATGCCAATACACACCCCAGGGCCCCACGATGCCGCTGTGGGGAGCCCCCATGAGGGGCACCACCCCTAGGCCCTGCCTGCCTGTCCTTCATTAGGCCGCATACCCGCGCCCCTTCGTCTTGTTGCCCGCCCCAGCACCACCTCGCCAACACCCAGACGCACCGCCTCACAGCACCAAGGGGCTCTTCGCTTATCTTTGGCTTCCGTAACATCTCTTTGCATAGCTTCAGGTCCAGTGTGTTTTCCGTACCTTTTTCCTCATCCCTAAGCACGGCTCAGATCATTAAAACACACAGACACACACACTTCCCCTCCCACCCCCACGACCCTTTCCTGCCGTTCCGTCACTCCATTCCTCCCCCCTTACTGCTCCCCCTCCCCACCCACCTCCCTTCCAGACAAACCCGCATTCCCCCCTCCACCAGACCCACCTAACACCAACCCCCCACCCCACCACCACCACCAGACCCCTCCCCCCCTTATTCCCCCCAAACCTACCCACGGCATGTATAACCGGCAAACACCCCGCCTCGCTCCTGCGCACCAAGTACTCCAGGCACGCCTCCTGGTCGTGTGCCAAGCCATCCGACAGAATGTACCAGCAATCCGCCGCCGCGTGTTGCTCAGCCACATGAAACGCGGACAGCAAGTTGGTCTGACCCACTGCATCCGGCCAGTTGGCGACCCAGCACTGCGCGTCGGAAAGCAAGTCGGGCTGGGTGGGCATCAGGGCCAGGCCGCCGCCGGCTGCTGAGGCGGCTCCGAAACCACCACCGAAGCGGGAGCATTCCGGGGAGCCATTGCGGGAGCCTGTCGGGGAGGTTCAAGAACGGATGGGTGGGTGGGTGGGTGAGGAGGAGGAGGTGGGTTTGTGTGTGTGTGGGGGGGGGGAAGAGGAGCAGCGGGGGAGGGGGGATAATTAGACGTGCAAGAAGTAAAGGTTCAATACTTTTTTCAACGGAAGTAAAGCGCAGTGAAGAGCAGTGGGCCAGGATAAGTACGGCGGTAAGCGGTCAACTTAGGCAAAGGGACACGGGTCAGGAGATAGGCGGCACCCGTTGATTCAACACATACATACACACACATTTTCAGCACTTCCCGCTTACCGCTCAGTCTACTAAAGCATAAACAGATATACAGAGGTACAGACAGACACACAGACAGACAGAGTTACACGGGATAGACAGACGCACAGACAAACACAC